CCATACTGCAACACACACACACATCCATACTGCAACACACACACACACACACACACACTCGTACTGCACTCTACTACAGTTCTACAAAGATGATGTGAATCTGTAGGGACTAATCGGAGCTTCATCACATTCAGACACTGATGGGACACACGTCACAGGCAGTGAGGGTTCAGTGCCTTGCCCAGGGACACTTCAACCTGTGACTGACGCTGGAATAGAACCACCAGCTCTCCCACTGGAGGATAACCGCTCTAACCACTGAGCCACAGCTGTCCCAAATCACAAAACCACCTCATGAATTTCTAGGAGGTGTTTGTTCATTTGTAAAAACTGAACGGATCAAAACGTCTTCAAAACAGGGATTATAGTTCAATCCAAAAATCAAACCGTTTCACACCGCTTTATAATCCAGGATCTGATCAATCCTGCAGTTGATGTGAGAAATCAGGTCAGCGAATGCCTGAGTGCAACATGTAACTTCCTGTTCTCTGTGGGCGGGGCTAAGGTTTATTATTGACATGTAGGTGTGTTGAGGACCAGACCAAGTTCCAGTGTTTGCTCTTGGGTGCAGATTTACGTCATTAATGTTCTACGGTGGAATTATAACTGTTTTGTGTCAGTTTTGTGTTTCATGGCTAGAAGTCAAAGTTTGAGGTGAAGCCACGCCCACATTCTGTAGCGTAAACTCAGGCTTTTAATAACCTTTAATCCCCCATGTCTTGGCAGTAAACTCAGTTTGAAGCGGATTCTCTGAACACTGAAGGAGGAATTTGTTAAAAAAAACACAAATTAAACACCAAAACATCTTTGATCCAAAATGGCCGACTTCCTGTTCGATTTAGGTCAAACCTCCAAGAGACTTTTTGTGCACCTTGGAGAGGTGTGCACGTGACCTCTCACAGTAGGTCTTTTTGACCATCTTGAGTAGCTTGTAAAATTTGAATGAAAATATTTTTTCTGAAGCTTTTACTTGGAATATTTACTAAAATAGTTACATAAAAGTAGAAGTATTTAGGGTAAAAGTAACATTAAGATAGACTTACCTGATACTTCCACGTCAGATTACAGATAAACTGCACCACTTTAGAAAAAGTAAATTTTTAAATGAAGCGTTGTGGATGTAACACAGATTTTAGTCATTAAACATTTAAAGCCTCTTTGTTTAACACTGCATGCCTTCTGTACCTGCTGCCATTTGAAAGTCTTCTGATCTCTGCCTCTTGTTCTGTCCGCTTTCCTCAAAACAATCTGTTTCCTGTCTTTTCTGTCACGGGCGTAGAAAAACTTCCATTGGGATGAGAAACAAGTGAGTCTTGTTTTTTGTCTTTATGTTTTTGCTCATGCCCTCCAGTGTTGAAGTTAATCAGTGGAAAGAAAAACTGTGCTCAGATTTAAAGGTCCTAAACTGAACTTCATTGAGTTTGGTGGTGGATTTTGAAGTGATGTTCTGTCAACATTTGGTTCCTCTTCAGCTGTGGCTTCAGCCACGGGGGTGCGTGGGGGTTGGGGGGGGGGTAGAAGTCTTTACTAGACTCGTAGCTTTTAATTTATGTTTCCTCCGTCTTGTCAAAGCTCCAAAATTCACGGTTGCAGCTCGTGCCTTCGTGTAAAAAGTTGTTTTTCTCTACAAAAAGAAGCTGAGAACTTGTTTACTGATTTTTTTATTTATTAAAAGCTTTCTGTGAAAAATGCTAAAGAGCTCAAACCACTCCGAGCGTCCACCATTTTGAAAACTGAATAAAGGAAGGAGAGACAGCCCACGTCACGTCAAGAGACCTCCCTCCCATTTTTCTTAGATACACGCTGCTCGCTCCCTCACTATCCATCCTTCAGTTCAAACGGTCTTATACTGCCATCCAGTGGTCGAAAACAGGCACTACACTCAAAAATTAAACATTTTTTCTTAAATTTGACTATAATTACTAATTATTGTCAAATTTCAAACAATATTATTGTTTATCGCAATAATTTCTGAGACAGTTAGTTGCCAGCAAAATTTGTTATCGTGACAGGCCTAGTCCAGGTGTAGTTTCTGTGGAAAGAAAAACGTTGATAAAAAATAATTATTAACAGGAACAGCAGTGAGCAAAGATGGATAGATGGATGCAGAGTGAGGGAATGTGGTCAATTTGTCCTCCGGCAATCTAAATCTATAGAAGCATAACTAAGGTCAGGAAACCCAAGTCAACCCTAACTATAGGATTCATCAAACAGAAAGTCTTAATCCCAGTCTTAAAACTGGACAATGTGTGGGCCTCATGGACAGAAACTGGAAGTTGGTTACATAAGAGAGGAGCCTGAGAACTGAAAGATCTTCCTCCCATTCTGTTTTTGGAAACTCTAGGAACCACAAATAAACCTGCACTGCAGTAAAGTGTTGTGCAAATAAAATGTACCTCCCAGACAAACCATCATAGCTTTTTAATTTTAATAGATGACAACATGATTAGTATTAACACACTCTTTATCTGTGTTCCCTTTTTGTTTAGAGCTTCAGGTAGTTTTTTTTGGTTTTGGATAAAAGAGAAGTGGCATTTTTAGCCTGGACCCTTCTGCCTTTCTCTCCACACCTTCATGCTCTACCTGAGGAGGCACCAACTCCTGAGAACTGTTTGACAGAACGTCTCTTCTAAATTAACCAGACTCTCTCTTCTAAGAGGAAGTGTAACCTCAGTTTGTCTGTTGTTAGCATGATTCACCAGGAGCCTCAGACTAGCGGCCTGGCCTCCAGACTCTCCACGCTGCAGGAGGACATGGGGAAGTCCCCTGCCAGAAAGAGGTGAGTCTCTCTCTGCTATTGTGTGTGTGTGTGTGTGTGTGTGTGTGTGTGTGTGGGGGGGGTAAAGGTAATTTCTGGTGTTTCATTGAGCTCCTCTGAAATGATGACTTAACTAAAGAAAGATTGATAGACTCTGTGAGGTCTGACAATCAGCTAGTTCATTGGGTTAAAGGTGTAAAATAAACCTGTTTAAAGAAACCAGAGAAATGTCATTTCCTGTGAAAATGTGGTGTGAACGCTTTTTGAATGATTTTAGCTGAAAGCTGCTGAAAAGGGTTCATCGCTCAACTGTGAGCTGAATTTGAACAGCTGACATTTGCTGAAAGCAGCAGAAAACAGGATGGATGGATGGTTGGATGGATGGATGGTTGGATGGATGATGGATGGTTGGATGGATGGATGATGGATGGATGGATGATGGTTGGATGGATGGATGATGGATGGATGAATGATGGATGGATGGTTGG